TTTTTTTTTTTTTTTTTTTTTTTTTTTTTTTTTTTTTTTTTTTTTTCTAAAGATCACAGAAAAAACTTAAGCAGACATTTCGTTAATAAAATTATAATATTTCCTTAAAAAACATCTAAAAGCACAGAAATTTCATAGCTTCCATTGAAATTCAACGCCTCCCTAACATTTCTACTGCGTTAAATACAAGCTTCGACCCCTTTAACCCGCAGGCATCAAATACAATTTTACTCCAGTCTAGAGCGACCGACAACCCCGAGTGTAATTCCCACTCGAGACAGCCTTTACCATTGCAGCCCGCAGTCTTCGTAATTTCCCGTGTGTAAAACCGCTCATGCGCAGCCATAACGATTAAGATAGTTTTTCTCTATCACAGAATATTTTTAGTTTTGAATCTCGCGCGCATTTCAAAGTTCAAAATAATTCGCGGAAAGCACCTGCCCCGTAGGATTACGATACTTGGATGAATTGACGTATGAAAAAAAAGTTAAGAGAAGAAAAAATAAGACAAAGGAAAGAAATAGGAAAGATCATAACGAAGGAACATCCTATGCATTGGCCTATACGTTTTAATATATCCACTATATCCATATATGTACTGTTGCATATATTTACGCCCTACGTGTGGAATGCCATAAATATAGTAGTCTAGATTAATAAAGTTATCAGCACGCACTACTATTGAGTTGTCACACTGTACTACGTAGCACCCACGTTTTTGCATTGAACTAGTACACGGAACTATAATCATGGGATTACAGAAGAGTGACATATGTATTTTCTTATAACTCTCGGTCAGTCTATTCAATTTGCTCGAGAAGACTTGCTGCGCGTTAAAGGCATACGCTAACGATAATGTATCATCTATATTATATACATTGACTATACTCACTTGATCGCAAATGATGTCCCATTTTTTCTCATTGTCATACTGCTTCAAGAGCTTTGCCTTGTCCGGCGGCAAATCCATTGAAGCCTGTAAAAAAAAAAAAAGAATTAAAAGATAGTAAATAACAAGACATAATTGATTAGTGACAGAAGACGATGCAAAGCACGACCTGCTGCAGCGATTAGGGTCATCAAGATCATTTCTAAACCGAGATTTCACGGGTGTCCAATAAATTTTAATCGTGCGTACATAAAGTATGTAAGCACAAGCAAAATAAGACACAGAGGACTTTGTCACTGTTTTCATTTGACTCGGTCGATGATTTTGTTCTTTTTGAACAAAAACGTACAAAAGCATCAACACGATGATTTCATTGTTAGGATTACTCTCGTGCGTCTCTCGACGATCCCGCTTAAGGAATGAATCATTGTGCATAAATTAATGTATAATCCACACGACTCCTGACACAGACGAGACAAACTGTGTAGCCGTATAAATATTTCCTTCGGCAAAGACCAAGGCTGGACGTCCCTGAAGTAATTCGATTAATGGACGAGTTTCGAATTTCGCGCCAATTCTCCAATATCGTTCCGTTATAACAGAAGGAACATGAAACTCGACGAGACAGTTCCTCCCTATTGGAAACCCTATGTGATAACTGGAATAACAAATTTCTGAGTAACGAACTCGTGACAGATGTCTGGTACACTTATAATGGCTCAAGGGGATCCAACATTAATTGTATAATTTGATAGGATGATATAAATTAGAAAATTATTCTATTACCTCCTTGCTATTCAATATAACGTATGACGTCACGGCGTATTAAATCGCTCATTGTCAGTGCATACAAGGTTGTCGGATCGCCTGCGAAGTACAACAGAATCTGATGTATACCTTGGTAACTGTTATCGTATCATTATAATTTGACGATTTCAATAGCAAATGATCGTTATATTTATCATTGATCGACTGATCGTCGTTATACGTGCGCATTAAAAAATCTATTATAGAAATCAATTCCAATAAGGGCGAACCGAAAGAGGCGTCGTTGGTCAATATTTTTTTTTCTTCTCCTCTTACGTATTGTCTGCTAACGAGTATGTTGCAACAACAGTAACAATGGCGGCGAGAAAAAAAATATTTTACAGATCGATATAGATAGAGGACGAAGAATATTTCATTTCGATGACACCGAGCCACTGTAACTGGTAACAAAGTATCGATAGCAGTGTGTGTGTGTAGGTATCGAGATCATCTCTCTTGCTCTCTTTTATTTTCTTTCGTTCTCTTTTTCCTTGAGATCAGCCGAGAGATCGGAATGTCGCCGGTGAAATGTGCTTGGCGCCGCCCACGCCGTTCGTGGCATAAGTCGGCGTCATCGTCATTAATTCTCGTGCGGGCGAAGTAAAAAGTGCAATGACGTTGGCAGTGGCTTTGGCGCCTGTAATAGCTGGATTTAGAAAATCGGTATACATGGAGATCGACAGACTCGTGTTGCGGGAAGAGTAAATTGAGGAAACAGTAAGTAGATGGTAAATTATCAAATGTCTTTATTCGTTTGCTTACGTATCGTTCGTGATGACCTCGTCATGAATTTGTCTGGGTGACGTCATCTTTTGAAAAATTACACGAATAAAGTTCTTCTTTTTCCCCGAATACTTTCCCGCTTTATACCGACTTTACACGTGTTCGAGACGTCTATATTGAGAAACTGATTTTTTCGGGAAAATAACGTTTAGGAAGTTTATTCAGAAATAGGAATTTTTGAAAAAAACGATAGGGAGCCGTCTCGACCGGTGAACAGTTGAATTTCGAAGACCGGTATATACATAGATCGACAACTATGAACTTAGAAAAAAAAAATAATTCGTTGGAAAATTACGAAATGACTTTTCTACTTCGGTATGCACAATGTGCAAATAATAATAATAGACTAGCGGATGCGGAAGTCGCGGGCGCGTGACGTCATCAAACAATGGCTAACCTAGATGATTCACTGAAACAGTAAAAGTTTGTCCGCTGCCAATAGCGCTGATAAAAAATGACTTCGACCAAATCTTTAAGTACAAAGTCAGTGAAACTGGCTTTATATAAAGTTTACGATACATTGTCAAATGAAGATTCGCACGTGTATATTAATATGGTCGTATGGAGAAAGTGCGGGAATCAAGCGTGGGTAAATCACGTGGAACCAATTGATCTCTATAAGGTATCTAATTAATTATTTTTAATTGACTCGATATATTCAACCCACGCACGTGAGTTTCGCGCTATCGAAGATAAAAAAGTTATTATTAATAAAATTCGTTAAGAGTATAGAAGTCTCCAGGTTTACGCGTTCGGCAAGTTTAATCGTCTTCTTGGTATATATATGACTCAACTGTTGATCGACACAGGACTACAAGAATAACAAAAGGGGATGAAGGGTAAACGAAAGAAAAATATCAGACAGATTTCAGGCCTATAGTACAACTAAGCTTAGGCCATCTATAACTCAACGAAAAATGTGTCGAGCGTCTGACACTCTATTAGAGTTCCCATGATGCACTTAGCGAGCGAAATAAGAGACTAAGGGAAACGGAGTAGCTGCCAATTGCCTGAATCGATGATAAAGTAAGAATCGATAACACGCTATGACGGCGAGGCGTAAAAATCATTAAAGTATCAAAAAAAAATTACAAATCCACATAAAAGTTCCTCTACAGCTACACTGACTTTATGTACCGTGACGTTGACTGATGTTTTATCTATTAACGATTAACGTTACAGAACCTTAAAATGTCCCTGAGGACGCAAAAACAAGATAACACAATTAAAATCGTATTTGACGTTCCCCTATGTGTTTAGATATAACTATGATTGTGGGAATAAGATTTTTGTAAATTGTAAATTATCAATTGAAAATCAATAAATTAAATCGTCATTTATCACAGATTAAATGCTCGGCTGCATCAGGTGGGGAATTTCTGATGCAATCTAAGAAATACCTTGACTCGCGTTTGCCCTAGATAACGTCACAGACCGCAACCGTACTGTGATTAAACGCCATTGCGAAAAGCGTCTTTCTCTTTAAGGCTGGTTCGCAGCACAGCGATCCGTGAACTACAGGATATAGACGTTATGCAGTGTATGTGGAGTGATCGAAGAAAGCGCAGCGAACTGGTTAGCTATATTGACGTTGAGAGAAAGAAAAAAATTGCACGGCCAATCGTGACGCGCAGGATATCGTGTGGACCTTCGGAGTCAAACGTAATCACAGACTTTCCCTCGAATACAATAAAAATCGATTGCACCGAGTTTCTCTATACAACGTTCAACATCAATTCTCACTTGTGTTTGTCATCGTTCTCGTGCCGTGCTGGACCTTGAAATACAGTTTGCAGCAACGACAAAACCTTCGACGAAAGAAACGTGCCCGTGCATAATGCCGATCCGCCTGTTACTCGTAAAACTCACTTAGTAATTTTTCGATGACTTCCACGAAAGTGACCCTGCCATCTTTTTTTCTTCAAATTTATGCACCTTACGTTAAGTGAATAACTCAGATTTCTTTAACCGTGAGAAACGCTCTCGTAGGGCCTTCGTGATAACACAGAAGGGCAGCTCGAAGCTCGTATCGTATATTTGAAGAATGCATTAATTTGTATTGCTATTATATTGACCTTGAAAAAAAAAAGTTGCACAAGATAAGAAATGAATAAAATTTGGATGCGAGTAGTGCGCAAAATGGGTAAAATAAAATTTTTCCGAAATTTACAATAATAAAGAGAGCGACGATAACCTAAAAATTTTAACAATTATTATGTCTCGTATAAATAAAAAAATTATTACACCAACGTCATAGTGCATCCTGCAGCACGGTGCATCAAGTTCTACGACCGTTGCTGCACCCTTACATTTTCTCCGTGGGCCACGTAGCTGACGCAGGCGACAATCGGTATCTCGAAGGTGGGAGATATGGGAAAGAAGAGAAAGATAAGGACAACCATGAACCAAGAGGTCAAAGATTCATTGCAGTTTGCATTGCGAATGTCAAGATGATGTATCGAAACAAAGTAAAAGATTCAGAAAAAAAAAAACGATCAACTATTGTATAATCGCGACAGACAAAACCACGTGACAGACGAACCAGAACAATGTACTGTAACAATAGTGATTAACTATTCTCAAAATTGACCCCGAGAATCAGCAGCCGCGCCCATGCTGTTTCCTCCTATCTCGAGCTTTGTTTTCAATGCAGCGACAATCGATACGCGTGCACGTATACAACACACCGTACAGTAACGACCGTACTATCGCGTACTGCAGGGTTCACCACACCCAGTTTCACGGCCAATTCCGAAACAGCCTCGTAGATGCCCTCAGGATAAACAAACCGTATCAATTCCCCTAGTACTTAGGAGTTGCACCCAAATAATAACATCCGAATGCAGACAACGAATTTCAACGAAAAAAAAAGTTTTACCAAAATTACTAAAAAAAAAATCCGATACAGTCCCCTGCCATACGTAACTTTTTCACACTTAAAAATAATACGTATTCATATAATCATATAATTTATGATTATACGTTAGGACGCACTACAGTGTAACCAAAATGGCAAAGAAAAAGTTATTTCGTAATATAAAATATTGTCATGTGGTATTTTACAGTCTTTGATCTATTGGTAAATGTAATTTTGAATCACTATACATTTCGCGCCACTGGCCACTTCCTGTGTCGCCTATTGGAAGGATAGCAGTTACGTTGATTCCCTGCACAAGTGGTCTGCATATAGGTGCAGCTGTGTTTCTATACTAGGTGGAGTACGTACAATGGCGAATGATGCGTACATACAGATGGTACGAGGAACACTGTAGGTTACACAGAGGGAGAGAGAGAGAGAGAGAGAGAGAGAGAGAGAGAGAGAGAGAGTCGCTCATCATAGTAAACAGCAATTATATACATTTTAGGATTATACCACGAGTGAGAGTGAGACGGATATAGAAAATGTGTACTTGTAAATGGTGGATGGGTGGCGCGAAGCTGAATAGAAAGTCAGGGATAAAATATCCGCATTGAAGCAACCCTTATCGCCTGGAGGC